GTAAAATTCAACCACAAAAGCTTCGCAAAACGTTTTAAAACTTTTATAAAACTAAATTGCCTGGCTTTAATTAAATGGCTTTATCGATAAACTTTGAGTTTGCAACAAAATGATTTCAAATTCTCGCATGCAAATAACTTTGCTTTCTTTTTAGTAAAAAAATTCAATATAATAAAAAAGGAATCAATATTAATAATACACTGAATTGACTGAAATTATATGCTGTCTTGTTTAGTTATTTCATATACGCAAAGGGCCAAAGGCCGTCGGGTTTTAACAGGGACCGCGGAGACGGGGGGGCTGGGGGGCTTTAGCCCCCCCACTTTTTTTGACAGCCAAAATTATTAAAATAGAAATCTAAATGAAACTTTCTAAATTAATTAAACCTCACCCTTTAGCCCCCCCCCACTCTCTAATACGCTCCGCGGGCCCTGTTTAAAGCAATTATAAAATCAATATTTAACACAAACTTACCTTCGTTAACGTCGGCTCCCTTCTTTTAGCCGATTCTTTCGCCGTTTCTATCTTGAAATTTACAAAATCTTGCAAAAATGCGAGTAAAATTGAAGTATATTTGCAAGAAATTTATCAATCATCAAATCTGTGATCAAATCAAGAAATGTTTGCTATTTCGCTGTCGTCATACAGTCGTTATGATGCAAACTTTAAATTGGACCAATCAGTGTCCGCTATTCATGACAGTCCGCCATATTTTTGAGATCAGTGAGGATGACCACCCACTCAACACCGTTGGTCGCCCACGCCCGCGATACTTGATGAACTTTAGACTCCGCTAATGCTTTCGTTTCCACGGGTGTAAATAGCCGGGGGGAATTAGTACCCTCGCACGGCGGTAGTAACTCGTGTTGGTTCTTTAATGAGTTGTTCAAGCTGAAACATGTTGGCCAAATCAAATAGTTTTTTAGTTTCTCTTTTTTCTGGAGACAACCAATCACAATTGAAATCACCAATACAAATAATTTCCTTATTTTCATGATCCATTTTTTGGATAATCAATTCGTAATCTATAAATATATTTACAGGCATATTTGGAGGCCTGTACCATGTACTTAAAAGAAACGGTTTTGCCTTTGGTTTGGTAATTTCAACCGTGATTGTCTCTAAATTTTCTGGGATGATATCAGATCTGATTTTATAATTGATCGTGTTTCGAATAAACATCGCTACCCCACCGCCATGTCGGTTTCTATCTTTACGAATTAGGTCGTATCCGTCTAAGTCTATCTCATGGTTATTGACACTATTGTCTAGCCATGTTTCATTTACGCATATAACATCATATTCATGTTTAAGAACATACATTCTAAATTCGTCAACATTATTAGGAATACTTCTAATGTTAAGTTGAGCTATTTTAAAGCCCTTATTTAAACATTTCCTAGTTACACTAGCCTTAAATGTCTTATTGCCTGATAATTCATTAGTTTTACCCCTTATATTATCATTTGGTGAATGAGAAGGAGAACATATACCTTGTGTCAATTTCGGGACAGACTCACAAAATCATGCATACTTTGTATTAAAATAATAAACAAGGTTTTTAGCCATCACACTGGTACTAAATCTATTTAAGTGTAATCCATAGGGATTTAAATGTTTGTCTTCGATGTTTTTGTGCTCAATGTAATCACAGTTATGTTGTTTGCATGCTTTAGCTAACATTATATTTACCTTCTTTACTTTTTGTGTATACTCAATTTTGTCGTTTCTGTGTAACAGCTCTGATACAATCACGGTTGTTTTTGGGCTTTCCTTCTTGATAACCTTTTGGATTTTCATTATGCCATCCACAATTTCTTCCGGCTGCTTATCTCGTATGTCGTTCGTACCAACATGTAACACAATTTGGTCCGGCTGCTTGACTAAGCATGGCCTAATATGATGAGCCATAGCCTCAGTAGTTGACCCTCTGTATGTTTCTACGTGTATGTTGTGATTTCCAGTTGGCATTGATCTTTTAAGTCTGTTAGCATTAAGATATTTGACTATAGAGTCACCCACGATAACGGTGGTCGTTTTCTTGTCAGCACCTGCATCATTATTTTTCTTTGTTTTGTCAGCTTTGACATTTTCTATCAATTTCTTTTTTGTCTTCGAACATGGGTTCCTTTTGTTGAACTTTTTAACTTATCGTTTGGTTTCTCGTCAGATTCGATATTAGATGATGAACTTGAAGATTCAGGATTTTTGTCGGTTAAGGTTTCGTATTGATTTTTTAGTTTTATGCCACCGGTTTTACGCTTACTATTTTGACCACTGTTCGATAGTAATGAAGTTGGCCTCTTGCTTTGATGCTTTGACTTAGATTTTTTCCACGTATTATCATCAATGCCACCACCGGTCTCTTCTCTTGCTTCGCCGCTTTTCTTTTTCGAGATAGCCTGCTGATTAAAGTCATTTTGTATTATTTTAATGGCTGTTACTAAACTTGATTTCTCTTCTTCGAGCTGTTTATTTGTCTGGCTGAGTTGTGATATAGTTTGTTGCATATTATTATTACTATCGCGCAGTGCCTCATTTTTCCTGTATAACTCGGCCTTTTCTTTCTTTAATTCATCGATGACTCCTTCCAAATTTATTTATTTATTTATTTATTTAGCTTTGCCAACCAGGGCAGGGTCATCACAACAGCATATGCCAATTACTGCATGTGCGCCCTTTTACCTCACCCACCCTGTCAACTTTCCCTGTGCATGTGGGAGGAACTCGACAGAGCCTTGACTGAGAAAGTTCTCACTGAGGCTTGAACCTGGGGCCTTAAGGCGGTTTTCCAGTCCTCGCACGAAGCTCCTCGCAGCTCGCTGAGAGTGCTTGCATCTAATTAAAATTAACTGTTTTGCATTGTGATTGGATGAAAGTGCTCATGCATCACTCGCAGCGAGCTGCGAGGAGCTTCGTGCGAGGACTGGAAAGCCCCCTTTAGAGGTGAAAGGCAAGTGCGCTAACCACTTCGCCACCGAAGCCCCGCATGTATGTTACTTGAGTTAGAACATATAGTTGAAACATTCTCCAAACACGCGATTACCTTCATTTTGTTAATCTAGAGCTTGAAATGTCCCCTAGCTGTAACAATTTGGGACGGGCATCTTTTGTCAACTCTCATTTTCGTTTGATCTGGGCTTCAATCCATTCCTAGGTTTCATGCGTAACTAAGATATCATTACCATATTATTGGGTCCAGTAGATGAAACCACGTATACATTAAAACACGACATAAAAAAAGTTGTTCTTTAATAAGAAGCGCGGTTACACTTGTGAGTTACAATCTAGATTTTAGAATTCAGTGGTGATTATTAGATTATTAAATTGTCCGCATATTATCTTGCATAAAGTCGAGACAGCTTGCACATAAAATTTGTTACATATTATTAAAATTCTGTTATTACCATTATTATTACGAATATAATAATTTACTTAATTTGGAGATGAAGCTGTCGGAGTGTCAAATGATTAAAGTTATTATCTCTAAGACTTTATATAAAGGTGCAAATAAGTTATTAAATGTGACAATAATTGGTGTTCAGTAATTGCTGAAGACAAAGATGAGTCCATATTTAACGAGTGCAAACTGCACATGTCAGCTCACGCCCTGCGATATAAGGCTTGCAGGGGAGTGAACCACATTCTCCTTCAACAAAATAGAACAAAGCGCCGTCACGATTAGCGTGGGTTCCTCGCGTGTAATCAGGAGCTTCATCCACGCATGTATACATCGTGCGATGATGACTGTGTTTCTCCGCCATCAGATATCCTTTGTACTCACGTGTCCATCCCGCGGGGCACACGTTCCGACCTGGTACCATCATTTGAGAAGCACGTTTGGTCACATGACACACTGCGCATGGAACATCGTGGTCGTGCAAACTGCTGGGATACATGCCAAAAGAGAAAGTTTCATATTCTGCGCCGAAGATTCGTGAACGAGCGTCTTGATAACCAGATTGATATTTTGTATAGATGGGATCACGTGTCAAACATACATAATTAGAACCACCACCCCTGTAATTATAATGAGATCCTTTAACATAACCTAAAACCAACAAAAGATAGAATAATGCATTGTCAAAATATAAAGGTGGCATGGATAGCTCGGCACAATATATATCTAGCATGTTGAAAAATATTGAACTAGAGGGCACTCAGAGACTGCATACCTCCGCAAGCGAATGATTTAAGTTAAGTATCATGCATAAATTATACAATGACCTATTACATATTAACAAAAATTTGATCAATTTGTCCATTATATAATTAACAATGTACATTAATCCCACCAATTGTCTTATTATTAATATACGTTTGATATTTTTTAACTTATCGTGCTGACAGAGTAACACATAGTCATAGACACACAGTTCTATTGTTCCGAGCGGGAATTTAATCTCTAAATTCCCGGTCGATTTATAAATTTTCCGTTGGATGGGAAATTTATAAATTGCCCGTTCAGTTGGCAAGGGTCAAACCTTTTTGTTTCCCTGACGACTACGCATTAGGCAAGTGCCGCGCGGATGTAAATCACACACACACATGCACGTTCAAACGCGGAAGGGTACATAACATCCTAGTGCAGGTAAAATTAATATTTTGATCTACTAAATTTGCATGTAATTTATATTATGCCCCTTTCCATTCATATTAGTAGAAGTCTCTTTGTGACAAGATACAAACAGGATATTACTACCTTCATAGACCAATGTAGCTCCAGTATTTGGACAGGTCTTTTTCCCCCACCGGATATAAGCCACTCCAACTTTTCCAGGTTCACCTTGTATTCCCTTGGGACCTTGAGACCCTGTTGATCCACTTTTACCTCGAACTCCTGGTTCACCTGGTAAAAAGTAAAATAGGAGTTTTCTAAGTAGGATCGACTTGAATGACTTAGCTAGATTCTTGCACTTCACTTGGTGGAATTAATATTAGGATGTTGGGGTTTGTAATCCAAGTGGGAATATATACACATCTGCGTAACGGGCGGGGGGGGGGCGGGGAGGGCGGCAGCCCCCCCAGTTTGTTGGGAAAACAAAGCCAGTCGGGCAATATTCGCTCCACAGTCGGGCAATATTGGCTTATTATAAAAAAAATGAGACAAATTCTGTAAATTTTGTGGGAAATTCTGTCAATTCTGTGGTCAATTTTGTGATGTCTGGAAAATTTGTATGATGATTTTCGGAAAAATTTTGGTATTTGCGAAAATTTTTTAGACCCCTAAAATGGTACACTGACCGAAATTTTTTTGGCGACAGGGGGGGGGTCACCAAAATTAATTTGCTCCGGAAAAATTTTTTCGGCACTGGTCGGGCACAATCCGAAAAAGTCGGGCAAATTTCTTTCCGCCCCCCCTAAATTTTTCTTTCCGGTACGCCCATGTATATACATTTTAAGACCTAACCAGGAACGACTGCAAAAAATGCAACACAAGGTCCTCTGGTAGGAATTGAACGTACGGCCCTGCGATTCCGGAGCAGCTCTCTAACCAACTGAGCTACAGAGGCCAGCTGTTGAGCTGTAACCGTAAGTTCATGTATATATAGGTAATCGGGTATGCGGGTTGTGATAAGGTGGACTTGAATGACTTAGATTCTTGCACTTCACTTGGTGGAATTATGCATAATAATGAAAAATGCCCCTGCATACGTTCAATTCCTACCAGAGGACTTTGTGCTGCATTTTTCGCAGTCGTTCCTGGTTAGGTCTTAAAATGTGTATATTCTCACTTGGATTACAAACCCTAGCTTTCTAAGTACATGATGTACCAGGCTTACATGCACATCAGTGGGTTTATGAAGGATATATATTTAATTTTTTTGTTTTTTTACACTCTGTCAGTTTGATTAGCAAACCTAACTTTTTACTATTAAGAGTTTTTCAGTTTTCCTGCAGCTTCACGGAAAAGTTTCGTACGTTTTACCGTTATATTTTACATTAAATTTTAGCCTATTGAAAGTCAAATAACATAAAGTACATTCTAGATTTTGACAATCCAAGTCAAGTCAGAAGTAATTTATTGCAAGTTCAAGTCAAGTTACAAGTCATTCAATCCGAGTAGCAATTCATGTTTGGAAATCATTCTGTACAGTTCTTTTTACCTTGAACTGGGAGTCACCCATGATAATTATTCATGAGTCCGGACGAAAGCCTGGAGCTAGGGTACTAATTCCCTCGGCTGTTTACAACCATGGAAGAGGAAAGCATTAGCGGAGTCTAAAGTTGATCAGTAATCGCTGTTTGATGGTTAATCAATGTTTTTAAGGTATTTGACTTAGAAAAGACTGCAATATTTGGGCGGACCATGTCTAGTTCTATTAACATGGAAAGTGCAAAGATGGTTGGAACGCATTGATCGTGTGTTGTAATTTTGTGTTGTAGCTTTATTGTTGTAGCTTTATTATTTTACAATGTCAATGTAATGTGATGGTAGGACTTAATTTGGGACTCCTCAGTCCTGTTGTCTGTATCTTCAATCGTTTTGTTCATTGTAAAGTTTATAAATAAATAAATGAATAAATGTTTGGTTGATTCATTCAGTGTTGGCCAATTACAAGTACTTCATGTTAAATTAATGTTTGGAATATATAGGCGAGGAGTTGCTGCAGGCATGTATTTCTAGTATATTAATTTAATTTAAAAAACTCATTAATAATTCATGAGGAAAAGACAAAGGAAATCACTATCGTGTCGGTGGTTTTATATGTGATAAAAAATCTGTTCATTTACATAAACTTTAGCTGTAATTTTCTCGGCTTAGACAACGTTTATTTTTAAAATTACTTCGCTAATGAACTCTTCAGATGGATCGTTTTTTAAGCCACATAAAACACTCACAGTCCGTGCTTTATCTGATATAAAACACTCGAGCTGCACTCTCGTCTTTTACATCTGATAAAACATTCCTGCTCGTGTTTTAAATAGTACATATTATACAAGCTCTCACCATCCTCGTTCCCAGGGCCTCTCGGTTGCGCGCGTCCTCCCTAGGCCCTGGGACACACGGAACCGGAAGTGCAAGAAAACTTGCAGTAGTTTCAAACGCGCATGCTCTTGAATTGGGACGCTTTAGTACCCGTAACAATTTTCACAGTGATGTATTACGAAGAAGCGAAGTATTTGTGTTGACATATATTGATAGAATAATTTTGCGTAGCGAAAATTGCTCAACTTCTGCGAAATAACAGTTCTCTGAGAAGCCAATCAGAGCTCTCCCTTTAGTCGTCTAACCCAGAGCCTAGAGTGACCGAGTGAAAATGGCTCTGGGGATGAGAAAGAGCTCTCATTCAAAGTGTAAAAAGCCAATCTGTCTGCACTAGTCACTATACATCGGTGTATTTCCGGTGCAAATTGTAGAAAAGTTAATTTTCAAAGTCAATCACAAAAATTGCGACTCCTAGTCACGTGACTTGAGTCTGCAACTCTGATTCAAGTTTTATAAACATCGGAAATTAAAATACCTCGGGCTCCCTGTGAACCATCCCTTCCGTCCCTGCCATTTCTT